TAATAGAGTTCGCCATCTGTTTGATTACATGACATGCTTGATTTTTACCGTACATTTCTGCCATATGGACATCAACTTGAGATAGTCACCGCTGATAAGCTACTACTAAATATAATGTAGAAACTTTAATTTTCTGTAAAGCTGCTTTGCAACGATTTGCATCAGGGTTAATTAAGTGATTGATGGTTGTTCAGGTCTATGCAATTGCACATATTGCTGTAAACTTGGGATTTCACATTTTCATTCTCTTAAACTCCTCACTTTCTCTCTTCCTGCAACTTGTGTGAATGTGTGAGTGCGTGTGTTTATGTGTTAGATTATTTTATATTGTCTTAGATTTATCCAATAAAGTCTTATTTATATTGAAAAGAGAAGTATCTTGTGTTTTGTGCTTACAAGTTAATGTCTTAAACTGCCGATCTTGTTACTGTGCTAACTAATAGTGTTTTCACTATATTTTGGATATTAATATCCATTGAAGAGTTGATGTTATACGGCTCGTTCCAATGAATCGCTGGCCGACTCAGTGATCAGCCGTAAAACAGTGATTCTGTCTTAAATAATCTTAAATAATTCCCTTTGAGCTTAAATGACCTGTTGCCCTTACATTTTACACTTAAATTTTTAGAGATTTTATTTATTTTTATAATTTAGCGATTTATTGGTTGAAGTTGTTTTTCATAAACTCAGAAAATTAAATTAGGCTTTTTGTTCGTTTAATCCAAGAAATAACCAACAGGTTGATCGATTATGGCAATAATTGTTATGCAGCTCTAGACTAAATGTAAAGGTAAAACACAAGACATTTGCAAACCACCTAAACCACAAAGGTTTGATGGATGACGTGTGTCTACACTGCAAACAAGCGGTTCGACACGACAAACAAGATCGATCACGTTCTAATCAATGAAGCCCTCACCAGTGCACACTTAAGAGTCAACTTTGTTGATTATAAAGAGAGCGAGCTGCTTTTTGTTCTGACATGTCATTCCGCTTCATCTGTATTAACATCATCTACCAAACGTTCCTTGATAAATGTTGTCTTTTGTTATATACTATATGCACATGCTGCATTTGTTTCTTTAATAATAAAAAAATCTATTCACATGCACAGAAATTATAACTGCATGGAAACCACATGGTGCAAGCTGTAATTTTAAGAACTTGTTTTCGATCGACCGTTTTTAAGGTTATAGCATTTTCATGTGCATTTTGAAGAGTGCTACGTTTAGTCATTCTGGCCCATTATCTCCATGGCAACATTCCAATTTAGGTGTTAAAGCATTCATCATGCTGAAGTCTGTCTGCGTGCCATCTGTTTGTAGGACAGGCCACACCATATAAAATACGAACTCCTCAAGACAATCATTTGTCTCATTTCTGGCAAAAAGCATGTGATCATCAAACCTCCACTGTGAGTCTGCAAGCGAACCTGAATCTTGTACAGTTCTGGTTCTAGGTAGAAGCATTGCCACTAAAAAACCTTTTACCTTTTCTGGGTATTTTTAGAGTTCTTAGAAGCCTCACAAATGGATCTTACATATTTGAGCATGTTGTGTCCGAGTTAAATAATACACGTATGGCAACGTGACATAAATGCACGAAAACGAGTCCTGAGAAGCATTTTGTGCAATTATTACAATAAAGGACTACAGAATTTCTGTTTAATGTGCACTAAATGAGCAGTACAGGTTTCGACGCGTTGCAAAAGCAAACAGTTCAGTTCTCTTGTTTGTTCTCTTACTTCACATTCACATCCATCCACATTTGTTTGACTTTCAGTCATCTGTCGCCATTTTACCCATCAGTATTTCTGTGTGCTTTGTTATTAAAACTAATATTTTATATTTAACTTGCATTTACTCTCATTTACATTTCAGACTAAAACACAACTGTTCAGCATTTACTGATCGCACTCCATCTCATTCTGTGAATTCTTCTTTTATTTTCATCTGTTTTCAGAGCATTTGGTTACACTTTATTTTAAGGTGTCCTTGTTAGTGTAATTATACATGTAAGTACTGAGTAATATTAATTAACTACATGTACTTACTATATGGTTAGGGTTTGGCTTAGGGTTACTTGCATGTAATTATGCATAATTTATTGTTATTATAATAGCGAGCACATGTAATGTGTAACAAGAACATCTTAAAATAAAGTGTTACTGAACATTTTAAATACATTTTTATTTTGTACTTTTTTTATTGTTACATGCATTAGTTAAGCATTTGTTACTTTTTATTTCTTATGCATCGGTTATATTGGACAACTACCACAAAGATAGGAATCATGAGGAAAAATGTCCAAATGCTTTAAATGACAGTCTTGTATCTAATGTTTAATGTAATGATGCTGTAAACATGCTACTTATGTTTTCTATTCTTTAGAACGTTTTTTATTTACATGAACTCACGTGACTATAATTCAGTCTAGGACCATCACGTGAGCTCTCATGTGATGTTGAATCCTCTCAAAAATAAATCTTACAGTCTTTCAAAGGCTGTTTTCACACTTGGATTGAATCTTTGGTCCAAACTAGAGATTCACAAATCAAATTCATAGGCTACTCTGGGATTAAATATGTTTACCAGTCCAAACTGTTAACCATTAAGCTACCAAAACCCATTCATTAATGTATGTATCTGGCTCCGCTACAGTTTAAATATATTTTTGTCAGTTTAATTAATACAAACAGTGGAGAGAAATGTGGGAACTGTCAGCAGCTTGACACACACATCACCTGTTTTACATCCATGGCTCTAAGTAATGAAGCACACATGCTAAACCATGTGTTACCTGTTTCTTTTTGACCATTCTATCTTACTGAGGCGATTGGAGCTGTACGTTGGAATTAGGGGAACAGCCTTAAGATGGTTTTCATCCTATCTTAAGGGGAGATCTTTTTCTGTAGCTATTGAGAATTTTACCTCTGTCAATGCTGCATGTACATGTGGGGTACCCCAGGGTTCCGTTTTAGGCCCGGTTTTGTTCTCCCTCTATCTTCTTCCTTTAGCATTATATCTCATACCATTTTTATGCAGATGATATATAGATTTATCTTCCAATGAAACCAGATGAGAATATATCTGTCCAGTCTCTGATTGATTGTGTGAGTGAAGTTAAAATTTGGATGGCGGATATTTTTTTACAGCGAAATGATTCTAAAGACCCGTTCATTTAACAGATAAATTCAGTTGTTAAATTAGCATTTTCTCCGCTTAGGATGATTGCTAAAACTAAATCTTTTCTTTCTATTAAGGATCTGGAAACTGTAATGCATTTATTTCAATAGTCCAAGATTGGTCCAAGATTCATATAATCATTACTGTTAATAGAGTTCGCCATCTGTTTGATTACATGACATGCTTGATTTTTACCGTACATTTCTGCCATATGGACATCAACTTGAGATAGTCACCGCTGATAAGCTACTACTAAATATAATGTAGAAACTTTAATTTTCTGTAAAGCTGCTTTGCAACGATTTGCATCGTGAAAAGCGCTATACAAATAAATTTGAATTGAATTGTGCTTAGGGATCACTCAATCTTGTTTATCTCGTCACAAGATGGTCCAAAATGCTGCAGCCAGACTTTTAACAGGGACCAGCAAGAGAGAAAGTATCACTCCAGTTTTGATTAGTTTGTACGGGCTTCCTATCAAGTTTAAATTCAGTTTAAGGTGCTGCCATTTGTGTACCATCTTACCTGTCTGATCTCTCGTACCATGATACTAACAGGCCTTTAAGGTCATCAAATACTTTATTGTTGGTACCTATGACGCGCTTGAAACTCGAGGGGGATCGTGCATTTTAAGTGGCAGCATCTAGGCCAGGGTTCCTCAATTAGTTTTCACTGAGGGCCAAATTCTGCCAACAATACCAAGCCAAGGGCCACCAACCACAATGTTACGACCAAAATGGTTGTTGTTGCTGCTGCTGTTTTTGTTTTTATTGTTGTTTTTTGTTGAAAGAGTCGCAAGATAAATATTCTGATTTTTTTACCCCCCAGTAGTCTGTTTTATTCAAACATTTTTTGTATTCAGGTACAGAAAACTAAAGAACTTTGCCTGTTGAATACTAAAAACGAATGAACAAACACAAAATCTGGATCTCCGTGTCTGCTCATCTCTAGACTGGATCTCTTCTCTCAACTTTCGCTAATTGCAGATTTTATTATTCAATCTGTCAGCATTAATATTTTTATCTTTAGATTTTTTGGGGGAATCAAACTGTAACACCGTGTCGCGATAAAAGTGATCTTTTCCATGTAGTTTTTGTCCTAACCACCTGCGACAGCGAATTCTATTTTTTAAAAACAGTTTCTATTTTCTGCGACGTCGCGGCTGGAAAAACATACAAAATATGACAGTGATAATCTCAGGTAATGATTATTTGCTATATTCAGTGTTAAGTGTTTGAATATTGTTTTGCATGACCTTTATAGCCATACTGAAAGCAAAAATAGATATAAACTTGCATCCGGGTTTAGACACGTTTCACTAATGTCGCTTTCTGATGCTGCGTTTGAATGTTCATGCCACATTATTTGAAATTAGCGCGGGTGTTTTTACCTCTGTCATAAATTTGTGATCTGTTTTATGTTGTTATTCGTTTTATGCATTTGTTGAATTTTTCGTGCAGCACTTTGGTCGACTCTGTCGTTATTAAATGCGCTATATAAATCAATAAAACTAAACTAAACGTTATATAAGACTTAGCCATACTGAAAGCAAAAATAGATATAAACTTGCATCCGGGTTTAGACACGTTTCACTAATGTCGCTTTCTGATGCTGCGTTTGAATGTTCATGCCACATTATTTGAAATTAGCGCGGGTGTTTTTACCTCTGTCATAAATTTGTGATCTGTTTTATGTTGTTATTCGTTTTATGCATTTGTTTAATTTTTCGTGCAGCACTTTGGTCGACTCTGTCGTTATTAAATGCGCTATATAAATCATTAAAACTAAACTAAACGTTATATAAGACTTGTATACCTTGGTCGGAGTCAGATTTGTCTGAAGAGCCCATGCTGTCCATTCGTGTGCGCTCCACACCGAGCTGCTCCAGGCATCTGTGCAGGTGCCTCTGTTCTCTCTGCAGCTGGTCTATAGTGTGCTGGGCCTTCCTCTCACCATCCTCCAACCTCTGCAAAACACACACGGGTTCAACCTCTGTATGTTCTGATCAAATGCATGAAGCCTTCAGGATAAGAGACTTCTTTCATTTGAACCCAAATCATTTGAATAGTACTGTATCTAGGGTTGGGCGATTTTTCCGATTGTATCTATTAATTCTAATGTAATGTTTGGCCACGATTTTATTTTTTATAAATCGAGGAATCACGGTTTTGATCACCAAGCGTTAGAATTAGACACTTTGACAATATGCCAATGATAACAGTAAAGAGAAAAGAATGACCCAAATGCATGCGAAGGACCATGAAAATATCGCTAGGTGTCATTTTTCACACAGAATGCGCTTTTTTTTTTTTGGCTGGCAACTTTTTCAGAAACGTTGGCAGGGAAAGGGTTAACTTGAGCGCCGCATTTTCAGAAAGCCGTTTCATGCATGAGATGCAAGCGCAACGGTCAAATGTGTTCATGTTTACATAGAATAAACAATGGAAAAGCAGCGCAATTGAATAAAAAACCTGTGAAGAACTACTACTGTATGACTGATATTTCATGCTTGCATCATGATGACAGGCTAAAAGCTGCTGTTTGTTGTTTTTACAGAATATTTATAGTTAATAATAGTCTACTGGTGTTCATCTTGAATTTAAATT